AAGTGATTTTAGGCAGGTACCAATACACAATGAATCATAAGTATATTGTTTTCCCTTCAAGTTTCTTTTCTGAATTTATAGAAATGCATGAGGTAAAGTGTTCCAAACACGATTTACCGCATGTGAGTTTGGACTGCCAGGGGATGGAAATAGTGCTTAGAATTTGAAACAAATTATTATTAAGCAAAAATAAATTCCCAAGGAAAAAAATTTAGGATAGAAAATTAGTCTGAGTTTTTAGGGGGAAATTCCTTCTCATATTTTTGTCCTGGGCCAGGCTCCCATTGGGTGTATGAAAAGGATAAGTGATTCAATGGGTCAGGAAAACAAGTGATTCTGCTGTGTCTTGGCTGTGCCCACTGATGGAGAAGATACAATAGCCAAAGCGCATATTGGGTGCCAAGACCCAGATCCAGCCTAATGAAGCACGAACAAACTCCCTAGTCTTCATCTCATGGGAGAACTTAGCCAGGGAGACTTTATGCTTGACTGTTCCGTCACACTAGCAGAATCCACTTATGTCTCCTCATATCCATCTCCCTGTTTTCCTCAGTACCAGAACGCCTGGCTGTGAGTTACCATTACACAGAATAGAATCTATTTTTCTCAGCTTACTATGGTTGGTGTGGCCACATGACCAAAACCACAGCTGACGAGATGAAAGCAGAAGTGGTATTCTTTAAAGGGGCAGGGTATCCTTTTTCTTACTTTTCCTTCTTTCCTGATGGTTGGAATGTGGATGTGATGGTTGGAGCTGGAGCAGCCACTTTGGATGATGAGGTAAAAGATACATGAGGATGGTGGAAAAACAAGATAGAGTCAGGTCTCTCATCACTGTGGAGCACCATAGCAGCCTGGACTGCCTATGTAGATTTTTACAAGAGAGAGAAATAAAAATATTTTGGGGTTTTCAGCTACCTGCAGCTGAACCTAGTTGTAATCAATAGAGATAGCTTGAGAAAACAGGTCAGAGGTAAGATGGTCTATGTTTTCTAATTATTTGTTTTGTCATTTATTTCATAATTTTTATCACCAATCAACATTTATGGAATGCTGTGTGAAGGGCACTGCTGGGAGATCTGGGGTTTTTTTTGTGAGGAAGATCAGCCCTGAGCTCACATCCATGCTAATCCTCCTCTTTTTGCTGAGGAAGACCGGCTCTGAGCTAACATCTATTGCCAATCCTCCTCCTTTTTTTTTTGTCCCCCAAAGCCCCAGTAGATAGTTGTATGTCATAGCTGCACATCCTTCTAGTTGCTGTATGTGGGATGTGGCCTCAGCATGGCCGGAGAAGCGGTGCGTCAGTGCACGCCGGGCCTGGGCCACCAGTAGCGGAGCACGCGCACTTAACCGCTAAGCCACGGGGCGGGCCCTGGGAGATCTGGTTTTAAGCTGGCTGAAGGATAGAGTGGGATCAGGACGCCACAAGCAAAGTTCAATTGTTAAAAAATTCTTCATGAAAATTGCTCCAGCACTTATGTATAATTGCAGCTGTATTTGGTCACAGCCATAGCTGTTTCTGACATCTCTGTTTTCCCTGGCAGCAAAGGTTGTGCTTATCCTGAATCTCCCTTTAGGACTTAACCCAAAGTCAAAATTCTGTTCCTGCCTTCAAAGTTGATGTTTGATGCAAAACATACAAAACCTGTGCACAGCTGCGTTAATGGCCATGGCACTGTGAAGCCAGTCTGCGTCCACTCCCTGTGTGTTGTTGATCGAGCACCACCCACTTTTCTGGCTCGAGGTGGAGCACAGGCAGGCTCTTTTCCCTCTAGATCCCTCCACAGCGACACAGGTTGACAGGGTCTGGATGAGACAGAGTTTCCGTGCTGCCACTCGTCCACCCTCCACGGGGAAGATGGAGGGCGTCCACTGGCCAGAGTTTCTCACCACTCCAGGCAGCATTCAGGATGGGGGTGGAGTGGGGTGGGGACATTGTTCTAGCAGCCCTGAGTCCTCAGCTGGCTGGATGGGGGACAGGACTTCTGTCAGCAGATCCCAACAGGTCTCAGAGCAGCATGGGCTCAGTGCCCCAGGCTTGCTCAGGAGGGCGCCATCAGGACCCCTGGCTTACAGGGACGGTGGGGTACAGCCCAGCTCTAAGGGAGAGGCCAGGAAAAAGGGGCCCGGCAAAGTAATGAGGTGGGGCCGCATGACACAAGGGTGGCCAGACATTCAGGGATGGGAGCTTCCTGGGCAAAAATAACCAACCAGCCCTTTTTAGAAACATAGCTGAAAGCCAACTGCCCACTTCTTTTCCAAACTAGCCACAGCACCTGAGTGCAGATTGCGATATTACACTCAGGCTGCACAAACCAGCTTTATATCCAAAGCCCACTTGCTTCACCGACTTTAGGGGACAGTCTGGTGACCAAAAGAAAAACATGTCCTGACAAAGTACCACTTACCTGGAAGGGCCTGGGCCCCACGATGAGAATTACTCCAGGGACCCCTTACCAAAACACTCTATGATTTCCCACCACACCTAGCAAAGTGCTACATGTTAATGCCAAAGAAGGATGGAAACCAGTGCAGCAAAAATGTGCACAATAGCCAAAGGCCTCACTGCTCTGAGGTGGTTTTTTTAGGCCTCACTAAGGCCTGGAGGAATTATTTCTAAACACTGTCAACGTCTGTCTCTAATTCCACACTCACAGGAAGGCTTCAGAGCAATATGCCAGATAAGGCGACACGACAAAGCGGGCGCACCAACTGGCAAACCCAAGCCCCGTGGTGCCTACGGGACTCGTCCCTCACGGTACGTGAATGGAGTGCCAGTCTGGTTTCTGCACGTTTGGTTCACATGGTCAAGTGCAGGACAGCCTCAGCATTTCTTGGGATCCTAAAAAACAAAGCCAAGGATGGAGGGGGTCCACACTGAGGAAATGATGCCTGGTCCAAGAGGCTAGCTGGCCTCCAGGGCATCGCCAACAGTTGGTAGTAGCTCCTAGTGTGATGAAGCTTGTGAGGCTCAGAGAAAATGCGTGCCATGATCGATTAGTAATGTCTGCAACAGATTAGGGGCAGGAGAGGATGATTGATTAGTAATGTCTGCAACAGATTAAGGGCAGGGACAGTGGTAGGCAGGTGAGTGGAACAGGAGGTCTGTGTTCCAAGTGAAGTGTTTCACCAATTCCAACAAGCTGGTCACTCACTCCCTATTTTTACATCTTTGAAATTGAGATGCATCTTACAACCACTATACCAGACTGTATTTTCCATAAAAGGACACAGTATTTCAAGTCTCACATATCCTTTCAGAACATAGCCAAGCCTCCATCAAGAAGTGGAATACATGTCCCCTTCCCCTGAACTGGGTGGGGGCGAAGGGGCATTGTGACCACTTCAAGTAATAAAGAGTGGAAAAGTGATGCTGAGTGCATTACGAAGCTAGGCCATGAAAAATGACATTGCTTGTACCTGACCTTCTCCTTGGGGATGTTCATCCTTGGAATGCAGGCACCATGCTCTGAGGAAGCCCATGCCCTGTGGAGAGGCCCCTGGTTCTCAGGCCTGGCTGAGGTCCCAGCTGACAGCCAGCACCAACATGCAAGCCATGTGTCACCCTGGAGGCAGACCCTCCAGCCCTAAGCAGGGCTGCCCGACTGATGCTGCGTGGGGCACAGATGGACCTTCCCTGGGGAGCCCTGCCCAAATCGCAAGATTCGTAAGCAAAGCAAATGACTGCTACTGTTTTAAGATGCTAAGTTTTGCAGTGGTTTGTTCTCCTACAGCAGCAGACAACCGAAACCATCGAGGGAAGCCTGGCAGCAGTCGTGGCAGCAGTCACGACCTACACGTGTACACTAAAGCTTGTAGAATAGGTGTCAGTTAATTGAAAGGAAACCCTGAGGACAACAGGGAAGCATGTTTTAAAGAAATGCTGCATCACCAATACTTTTTATGGTACAAAGAATAATACAGTAAGGAAAATATGAACACTGATGACTCTGTTTAAAAAGTGATTTAGAAGGATGAGACTCCGAAGAGGAGGAAATCTGAGGAATACCGTACCAAATCTGTTTTGAATATATTTTCCTTTTTAAGGATGCACAAGAGTGATACATAATGAAAAAACTTACATCTAAATAAACTTAAAAGAACATTCAATGAATATTAAAGAAATGCTAAGTGATAACAAAGCATTCTGTCAGCTTCATTGGCAACCTTTTCCTTTCTCGGTGGTATAAGATAATCTTACAATCAATGACATCATAGATTTCATGAAATATAAGTATTGATTGTTCTTGACTTAAATCTGTCTAATTATCCTGCCAAATACAAGTGTTCTAAGAAAGAATTTCATAAATTTTTCCTTTTTTCTATGAAAATTGAAAAAAGCAAACAAAAACAAAAACCTAGCAGGGATAGGTTTTTTTTTTAAACTCAATTTAATTTTTACTTTCATAATTATGTCCATGGCATTGTTCTATAAAATATTTTGGAGATTTTTAAAAAAGTTAATTTTCTGGGGGCCAGCCTGGTGGCACAGTGGTTAAGTTTGTGTGCACAGCTTCGTCAGCCCGAGGTTTGCAGGTTCAGCCTGGGTGCAGACCTACACACTGCTCATCAAGCCATGCTGTGGCAGGCATCCCACATATAAAGTAGAGGAAGATGGGCAAGGATGTTAGCCCAGGGCCAATCTTCCTCAGCAAAAGAGAGGAGGATTGGCAACAGATGTTAGCTCAGGGCTAATCCTCCTCAGCAAAAAAAAAAAAAAAGTTAATTTTCTGAATTTAATACTCCAAACAAGTGGCTTTCCAAGAACCCCTAAATCACATGAATTTTACATATTACGAATGTTTTAGGTGGCTCTGTCTCTTGAATGGGGGGCGGGGATGAGGCTTAATGAAGGTGTGATAAAGCAAATACCTCTGAGCTTAGCTAAAGCTATGGTGAGAATTAAAGAAACAAAGTGATGTAAGAGGTAATTATTAAGCATTTGTAAAGCAAAAGAAGTGATGATGTTGGCTTTATTACTATTAAGTTAAAAGAATCAAAGATTTCAAAAACAGAAATTTATTCATAAAATATATAAAAGTTTCACAAAAAATAAGGCTACAAAACCCCACAATCTTGTACATCTCAACATCACCAGTCAACAATCAAAAGTCTCACTAATTCAACTTCTGTTTTTTAAGTAAAAAAGAGGTCTTTGTAAATCATAGTATTTCATTTTATGAGTTATACTGCTGAAAACAGTTACTCAAATCTAGTCTGACCATGCCATGTTGGTATTTTATAAAGTAATATTCTTTATAGAAATGTACTGACACTGAAATCTCTCAGAGTGTATTTATGAAGGGTAATTCACAGTAGTCTTACCAAAGCAAACGATCTTAAACCAAATTAAGTGATCCCTACCACAACATTGTAACCCTAAAACACAAGTGTTATGATAAATATGGAACTCTGGGGATGCAGAACAAATTTAAAATATGTTTAAATATAGACAAGTATCAACTTTTTATTAGGAAAGGAACAGAGCTGGAGCTAGAGACAGTGGTGGCCCCACGAGCAGCAGCAAACCAGCATCCAGCCAGGTCGCCGGGACACACCACTCGGCATTTCACACCCAGAGAGAGGCTAGCCGGAGGTTTGCTGGGGCCTTTGTTCATCAGTCAAATCCAACTCTGTTCAATGAGGGTCAGAGGAAAAACTTATTCTGAATTCCATGAGTGTTCCTCTGGAAGGTTTCAAGTCCAAAGTCTTCAGATCAAATTTTATGGAGTTTTGTAACAATCAGTACTCTCACCATTTGATCAAATGAACTACAGATGCAGAGACCCCTTTTATCTGGACTCCAGTCCAAACTGGAAATGGGCTGGGTAGACAATGTCACATTCTGCAGGAGGCTGACCGAGCCCGCAACTCCCATCTCCACGCCCTCGGAATCTTTCTTTGACCGCTGAATAGGGTATTCGCTGAGAACAAAATCAAAGTGGGGAGAGGAGGTCAATCTTAGCACTCTCCATATTATTTATATACACATACTCCAATAACTCTATTTTTATGTCTCAGTTGATTACTGGTACTGATAAACACTTAAAGAATCTTTCTAATGTTGAGTTGTACGCAAATAAAGAGAGACTATTTCAACCTCAACCTCATCTGCTAAAAATCTCATAAAAAAGGGTTGGTTCTATTTAAAACTTTGAAACATCATTTCTGCTCAGCATGAGTCTGTATTTTCTCTTTTAATATGAAAGTTCTAGGTTGATCTAGTATTCCTTAATAAATTTACTTGGTGCTCTTGATAATCTTTTTTTGCAATTCTCCTCTAGATTCAGATTGCTAGATGCCACGGGCAAACAGCATGTGCAGAGGCAAAAGCTGTAACATCACAGAACCTCATCTGAACACTTCCAGAATGGAGAAGAGGTGCTGATTTCTAACCCCAGAGCTCCATTACCCAGATCCAAGCCTAAGGACCTTTGGGTACCATCTCTATAGGACGGCACTGCTGGGAGGAGATTTTAGACCTAGATAACATTGCTTCAAAAAAGAAAAAAGCAATTCCGAGAATGTTTGATTTTTTTCCAGCTGAAAATATAAATTTATAAAGGAAGAAGAGCTGAAGGTTAACAACTCACAAATACTATTTGGTCTAGATTGGAGAGAGGGGACAAAGAAACAGCCCTCCCCCACAGAGATGTGCTCCTCGTGAGATACAGGGGCACTCCTCCTCAGAAGGCCTTTTAGAGCCTGTTAGGTATCAACTATGACACCACCTTTATTTCCTAAGTGCTAACAAAGGCCAAGAGTCTAAGAGGCACAGAGCAAGGCAGAGGAGGAGCAGAAACAGAAGTGACAGGCAGATAACTCACTACTGTTTCCTTCTCTCAGATCCTACAGCTTCTTTTGATTAAAAGGAATAAAACATTTAGACGAATAAACAGTTTACAGACTTCTTTCATGTCTCTTGGCAAAGGATGCAGTTATTTAGTATTTAAAAGATAACATAAGGATTTTTTTTCAAACCTTCTTGTGTGTGTTTCAAATATGCAAAAAAAATCAGCATGTTGGGGCCCACTCACTCAAAACACAATTTCTGAATAACCGGATGAGTTCCTCTAGGAACTCTTGCTTAGGTGCTCAGTAAACATTATGATTTAGTTGCATGACGACCAAGAGAGACTGGCAAATGGAAATAAAGCTAAATCTCATTTTTCTTAAACCAGTTCTCCTCTGCTGGTGCAATACTTCACAGCAAAGCCCCAGACCAATTTGAAGATTAGACTAGACATCTGTGATGGTAAGGATTAAAGTTCAGATGGAGATAACCTTCCAGTTTCTAAATACGTACAGACCCAACTTTACTGATATTAACTAAATCCACCACAGTCAAAAATTCTAGCTGCAAACGTGTTTGCATGTCACATGGAATACAACTCCATGTGTGCATTATGTAGAAAACAGACCAGTGCCTCAAGTAAGCTGCCTAAAGAGTGGGCATCAACAGGACAGTGATGCGCTGCTGCAGGGCTTAGGCGATGTGCAGGGCCTCTGCTGGAGTGGAGAGTGGGTTGGAAGAATCAGGGAAGGACAATGGGCAAAGGTGCCAGGGAAAGCAAAATTTCCAAGTGATCTATCTACCAGGCATTCTCTCCCAGAAGTCTTAAAGCTTTTCCTCAGCTTTTTACTCACAGAAACTATGTATGCAGTTTTCACCTAGAGCATTCACTCTCGGTTTGTTGTCGGCTATAGCCCTAAATACTCTAACAAGTACTTTCCAATTGTGGCCCTGTTTTCCAGAATTCCTTCTAGCTTCTAAAAGGAGCTAATAAACAGAGGAGTTGTTTATAAAAGTGAAAGTCCCAGACATACTGAAGATGGTGTTTTTCTTCTATTTCTTTTTTTCAAACTTTATTTTGGAAATAACTTTCACTTATAGGCTTGTATTGGTCTTTTTTTCTTTTTCTTGAGTGACGTTTAGAGAAAGAATTACCATTAACTCCTAGTTTTTCTCAGGCCTCTTAAATGAGCAGCTGACCTCACATCTGCTCCCTCAGGGCCCTTGGGGTTGAAAGCACAGTGCACAGCAGCACAGCTCACACTGTTAACTCACCCTGCCGCCGGGGTGCAGAAAGTGAACTCAACGAGCCTCAGGGGCCTGGGGCTCTGCGTTGGCTTCTATCACAAGGACTTTGTCTGAACTTGGGCAAGTGAATTATCAGGATCTAACACTAAGAATTCCAACCCTTTTCCTAGCTTCTAGGGGTAGTGTTCTAATGACCAGATGATAACACTTCACAAAAGCCTTTGGTCAAAGTTTTCCTATTTTTTAAAAAACTAGCAAAAACCTTGATTTCAAATCTATGAAAAGAATTGTTCCTGAGCTACTCTAATATACGGAAGACACAACCCAAATAACAAACACATTTAGTGCGTCAAAAGAAGGTTAATATGTACTAACTGTAAAATGACTATATTAGTAAAAAAAATGCTTAGAACATAATACTTATGTAATACCATGAAATTTAAAATCATATCAAAATGAGCTAAGTCAAAGGAGGAAAAACAGACAAAAAAGTTAATCTAATCCTACTTGCCGCCCACAAGTAACTGAAAAAAGAGCGCTGTGCCCTGGTGGAGACTTACTACTTCCAGAGGTGAAGGCCGCCGGCGCCGCCCGCGGTCAGAAAGAGCTCCCTGTTCTGCGGCAGGTGTCGGACCTGCCACACAGTCGATTTATGAGCCTAAATGGAACGAGAGGCACACAACTGGTTTATAAGTTGTTATGCTAAATAAAGACTGCCCTAGAAGAGAAACCTGTCAATAAGAAATCTTGACTTCTATAATTTCAACAAATTTATAAAAGCAATTAACGTATTTTCTGGCACTTCTCTTTATTACGGCCATAGAGATTTATAGAAGCCCATCAGAAATCAGGAAAACCATTATTTTTCTTTATTGCTTTAAGAAACAAAGTTCTACTAGATGGAAAAAAAAGATGTTATAAGATTAAAAGTCCATTTAAATTTATAGTACCATATAAATTATGCAAATAGATTTTATACATTTGAATACCTCTAGCTCACTCTGAGGAGGGAAAAAAAAACTCAAAATACAAAAACACTTTTTCCTAAGGGAAAAAAAAAGGATAGATTGAATTTTCTTTTAAACAGACTTTATTTTTTAGAGCAGTTTTAGGTTCACAGCAAAATTGAGTGGAAAGTACAGAGGGTTCCCATATATGGAATGGATTTTAACTTAAAGCTCCCAGAGCTTCATTTTCAGTTTATACCATTTGACTTGTCTAGGCTTCAAAATAAGGACCATGAGGACTTATAGGCAGTGTTTAGGGTCATAATAAACCAGGCCTTTATCAGTCACATTACACCAAGAGATAAAAATGGCAACTGAAGAAGGTTAACACCTTGTTAGCACCTTAACAACACCCAGGAAATCAGTCCTAACAGTGCTGTATTCACTGGGGGAACGTGATGAGAGAGGGAGAGAGGAAGTGAGAGAGAGAAGAGAGGAGGGGTAGGGAGAAAGAGAGGAGGGAGACGCAGGGAGACTGGCTAACCTGATCTACGCCACACTTAGACCTTCACACTTCAGTGAGGGATGTCTTCACATCTGATTTTAATAGTCTTTTAAGCGAATTACCATTAGCAGATAAAAACACATATCTCAAAATACATGCTTTAAGTGTGTGAGAGCCCTCGAGTGATTAGGCTCAAGTTGTTAAAAATTTGTTTTGTAGCTTAAATTTCTCTTTTTCTTCTGAAAGTTGATAAAAATACAAAAAGCAAGAGGGGACATGACCTCTTAAAATAGACCAGAGTCATTTGTTTGACAGATCTAGCAATTACTGGATTAACTAAATGTAATAAAAATTTTTGGAGATGACACTATCATTTACAGACAATGAGAAATGCGTTGAAATGGTACATGGAACAATGCAGTAAAGTGCTTTATGTTGTTGGTAGATACTTAATATATCCTGAAACGACAAAGGCAAAACAATACTACAATTTACAGCTACCCTGTTAAGAATGGAGTTCATTAGGCAGTGACAGTAAATTACACACAATAATAATAATTATTGTAATAATAAAATAAGACAAGATAGGAAGGTTTGAGAAGTACTACTGACTATACGGTGGAGGGAGAGGAAGCAAGGGAATGAATCTTTATTTCCTGAGCAACATATATATTTTAATCTTATGGAAACTACAAATCTATAACTGATCTTCATTTTCATACTCAAGGAAGCTCAGAATCACATTTCCAACCCATCTTTTGCAAATGACAGGATGTTACAACAGGAATTTTATGCAATCCTCTTCCTCTAGATATCATCGTTTTTTTTAAACCAGTATTTTCCCTGTGCCCTGCTTTCTTCATCTATTTTTCTAACACTGTAATACCATATGCCTCCTTCTTTTTGTTGTTAGTGCTAACAAGTCAATTCCGACTCCAGCGACCCTGTGCACAGCAGAGCAGAACCCTGCCCAGTCTTTTTGCACCATCCTCTCACCTTCCAGTGCTACCCAGGTCCCTCTTCCTCGTCTGTCTAGTCTGGAAGCTCCGCTGAAACCTGTCCACCATGGTGACCTGCTGGTATTTGAAACACCAGTGGCATAGCTTTCAGCATCACAGCAACATGCAGCCACCACAGTGTGACAGCCGAGAGACGGATGGTGTGGTTCCCTGATCAGGAAACGAACCCAGACCGTGGAGGTGAGGACACCAATCTTAACCACTAGACCACCAACATTTCCTTCTAAGCTACCTCCAAAACTATCTGGAACTAGGCAAACTATGTATGTATGTATACATATGTGTGTATAAATGAATGAATGAATGAATGAATAGTTTTGCATCTACTATGTACCAATCATAGTGATTAGTGCTTTAAATAATTTCATTTAATATAGCAAACTGAAATATAAAATACAATGTGATGAAATTATATAATGTATATATGTTTTGAAAAGTACACAATTAGGTATTAATACTAATATTATATATTTATTAGAAAACACCAGGCTAGGCCTTGTTGATCAAATTCCTAACATCAGCTAGTTTTCTTGTGATTGCTCCTAAACTACAAAAAAAGATTCCTAGCCAACTGAGGCTTTTATTATAATCAAGAAGTCTAAACTGATAAACTCTGGGAAAGTACTCTTTGCACAGAAAAACTTGTCAGGATCCCACAAGAATATATTAAAAATAGCTCCCCTTGGGGGCCAGCCCAGTGGCGCAAGCGGTTAGGTGCGCGCTCCGCTGTGCCGGCCCGGGGTTTGCCGGTTCGGATCCCGGGCGTGCACCAACGCACTGCTTGTCGAGCCACGCTGTGGCGGTGTCCCATATAAAGTAGAGAAAGATGGGCACGGATGTTAGCCCAGGGCCAGTCTTCCTCAGAAAAAAGAGGAGGATTGGCATCAGATGTTGGCTCAGGGCTGATCTTCCTCACAAAAAAAAAATAGGTCCCTTCATATAAAGACCTGGAAGGAACATTGGTGACTAATTCTATTTATTAGTCTCAAACAGGCTATGAACATTCTTTTTCATAGAAAGACATTTCCATCACATTTACCTTTTCCGAAACGGAGGCAAAACCTTTGGTTGGATGCTGTGTTCTCATGTCAAAAACATGAAACTTTCCCTCCAGGGACGTAGCTACTAATTTATTCATACTTATGTCTTTTCTGTCAAACTCCAAGCTACATACCTGAAAACAGAGAACATTTATTATTGATGGTCTAAAGATTATTATGAACCAACAACTCTGGTTCATGTGAGAGCCTTTTAAACAAACATTTTATCTTTTGATTCAATACATTAAATACTTTTGAAGGTAAAAAAATTTCTTCTTGGTTAATAAGATCAACAAAACCATCTTGAGTTCCCCTGTCCAGTAGATGCATTTGGAATGCCATAAGTGACTTTTTTATAGTTATTACATAATTATTTTATACAGTTAAGTCAAGGCTGATTTAGAAAACAAGAGGGAACTACACTCTTCATTAAAGGTGTACAACTCAGGAACCAAAAACCTGAGAGCACTTGGAGAGGCTATGAATATTTCAGGCTCCCTAACATTAGCAGACAGAAGGCCTCTTACTAGCTCATTTTGGTATCATCCTGCATGGCCCACAGGGGTCCAGGGACAGGCCGCAGTGGGTGGTGACTCACTCGGCACTGTCATACCACATCTGGGTGTGTGTTCACTTTCTGAAGAGGGGATCTATGATTTTCATTAGATTCTCAAAGGGCTCCACAGCCCCATGAAGTTAAGAACCATTGGTGGAAGGGTTGTACCAAGAGGAGTAATTAGAGGCGCTTTCCTTTTGTAGTATTCAGAGGTGGATGAAACACACTCAGAGAAACTACAAAGAATCTGAATGTACATTACCCCATTCTTTATGTTTGTCTCCCACCGCAATGACATGTTTCTGAGATCAAACAGTTTGATATCTCCATTGTCATAGCCAGCACAAACAACACGCTCCTCTTGATTATAAGCGTTGCCTAGAAATCAAGATACAACATTTCAGATCTTTATAAATGCTAATTTGAAGGCTTCTAAAACATCTTATGCAACTACACATATAACTTGTACTAAATCAGATAAAAAAAAAATCACTGTGGGTAGAATCTCATTTTACCAATCCTGACATCAAGATTATTAATTTGATGTCTAATATTGTATTAAAAAAGAGCTCATTCACTGAGATTCTATAGTGAAGGGATATGTGAAAGTATTTATTGGATCCTAAGTTGAAAGCAAATGTTCTCTAGTCTATCTGCAAAGACTAACAGGCCAACGACAGCTCAAACACAGCAGGGTTTGGCAGAAAACAGCTATGCTTCTGTGGCTTTCTTTGGCAGTAACCATATTTGAATGCAAACAGAAACTACTTTAAACTTATTTATTTTGCAAAATGTTGTTCTGGTTTTATCTCATCTTTGCAAGGAAACCTGAAATAAGTTTAACACACTGATGTATTTATAGTTGTATGGATGATCACACCAGAAGTAAGTTTATAACCCATAAGTTCATCCTGCTCAGATCCAGGAACTTTTTCCGGAGCACCTCTTGCCATGGAAATGTCTTAAGTGAGATGGAGGCCTCTGTAACTGTGCTCGGCTATCTGGGCATCTTATCCCAATGTCTTTGTTCTCTGCTGCCTCCAACTTCCTCTTCCTCATAAACTCCAGCCCTGCATTTCCACTGTGGGTTCCACCTAGATGACACAAGAGCATCTTAAACTCATGACGTCCAAGACTGACCTCACCATCTTCCTTTACAAACTATCACACCCCTTGTGGAACTCCTTCAATTAAAAACATCATTCACCCCACAATCAGCCTCAAAATTCAGTCATCTTGGACATAATCCTTTCTCTTGTTCCTCATCTCCAAAAAATTGCCAAATTCTATTTATTTTGCCACAATATTATCTTCTGAATCAATCCCCTCTGCTCCATTCTCATTGCTTCTAACCTATGCCTTTCCTGGAATATTGCAAAGAGCTTCAGAACTCGTATTCCCTTTGCCACTCATCTCTCCCCACTACACAACAGCAGGTTAATCTTCCTAAAGCTCTGATCACATCTCATCCTTGCAGAAACGTTCAGAGGTTTACCACCACCTCCACACCATCTAAAACCTCTGGCCATGGCCCTGAGCCATCCTCAAGGCTATTCCTTCCACCATTTCCTTATACACACTTACAAAGCTATTCTTTATGCTTGAAATTTCCTCCCAATTTCAGTGATTCAATCCTATACATCCTTGGTCTGAGATCAAAATATTCTTCCTCCCCAGTCACCTCTCCCTGGGAGATGCCTTCTGCATTCATCCCTGCCTCTCACGACCTTTCATCACTCCTACCTTGTACTGCAATTAATGTAGCTATCATGCCCCCTTTATTAAACTATAAGCTTCTTGAGGCTAGAATATGAGGCTGTTTCACCTTTGTATGCTCACAATACTTTGCACATACTTGGCATTCATAAAAAATTGTCAAATCAACGGATAAATGTTTTCTTTTTTAAACTTAATGTCCTATATTTAAAACTGTGCTTATGTCCCTTAGATAAATGATAAAAAGGCTTTAATGGACCCAAAGATAACTACTTTTTAATTATTACATCAATTTTTAGATGATGATTCTAAGTACTAATCCTGAAACTTCTCCCCAAAGCATACGTCTTAAGTTTATATATATTGCTCATAATACACACACATAGTAATTCCCATACAATAATTTATTTTTAAAATTAGAAATCTAAAACTTTCCTCTGATCAAATAACAATCCAATTTTAAAATAACATAAAAAGTTAAACAGTTCACATGTATTGTTAAACCTCACTTTTAATGTCTGTTATCTACCCAGGATTATACCAAGAAAAAGGGGAGAGAAAACAGAAGTTTAAACTAAATATGGCCCATATCCTTCATTAGCAAAAATTATTTTAATTTTGGTGCTCAGCAAGAGATACAAGGGCAAACACTAATTAGTCCTACAAAATCAATATTCACTTTAAGTATATTAATAGAGGAACATGGCTATCAAATTTATAAGAAATAATTTTGTAATGGCATAACTATTTTCTAGAAAATAAACATACTCTGTGTAGAGTATAATGTAAGATGTGTTAGGTTACCGTTTGCCTTTGAGGCTCTGTTTAGCTCCACTAATGGCATCTGGTTCCAAACTAGGTCAACATTATCTAGTTAAAAAGAAGTACATAATAACAGCAAATACTTTTGAGCACTTAATAATCCAAGCACAATTCTAAGCACTTTACATGTATTAACTTATTGAATCCTCATAACAACACTATTAGGGAAATTCTATTATTATAAAATTCCATTTTACAAATGAAGCAACCAAGAAACAGAGAAGCTTGGTAACTTGCCCCAGGTCACACAGCCAGTGAGGAGCACAGTAGGATTCACACCAGTCCCTAGAGGCTGATATTAACCACCATGTCTATCTGCCTCAGTAAACTGTCAGAGTAATCCACAAGACAGACTATAAACAGACTATCAGGACTTGAAGCACTGTGCTTTTTACCACCTGATACTTCAGATGCAAAAGTTCTTCAATAATTTACCAAATGCCACAGTCCAACAGTCTCTCCTGTTTTCTCCTTGTACAGGTTCCATATTGGCAACAGGATCATCTTTCTGTCTTGGGTCCCACACCTTCACAGTTCCTGTTGTGAAGAAAAGTGAGTTGGCAAAATTCAATAGTGAACAAGGACATTTCTTTTCTGTATTCTCTTCCTATGGCTTCCTGTGCATATGGCAATATTACAGATGTTTTAACATCTGAAAAATATTCACATTTTTCTGACTTCTAATTGGGCAAGTTGTATTTAATATCAGAGATATAACATAAACGTTAAAATTTCTCATCGTAAGGAAAAAAAAACAAAAGAGAGAGATAACCCTTACGTTACTGTCTGATTTGATTTCCAAATTAATAGATACCCAGAAAAGCCAACAACTGTTCCTAAGTTATCAACAACATATGACTGACAATCAAACACAAATGTTATGTAATTCAAACTATGCCTTATTTTCTGTGAGCCTAAAACTAATGTTATTTATTTACAATAATACCAGTGTCATTGTAATTTTTTTCCTTACTACCCATGTAATCATTGGCATTTTCCTTATACAGATGAATAAACTAATTTTACATCTGTGATTTCTTATATGGGATTTTAGAATACTATTTCATACACAATTAAGTTTAATTTTCCTGTGGCAATAGAGAAGAGGGAAATATTAAATAAAATTAACAAATAATTCTTCTCAATTTAATTTCAACTCCCTCATTGTAATGCAAATTACAGGAATACTAACTAAATGGCATTGGCAATGAGAAATACACTGCCTATGAGAAATACAAATGCATGTAATAAAATAGCTAAAAGGCAAGTACCTGAGAAAGAATAGGAAAAGGGTAAAAAAAACCTTTAAAAAGGATAATAAACTCAGGAAAAGGGGAGCTATCCCACTAGATTTATCGCCAAGGATAAAGTTGGTCATTAAAAAGGCTGCTTTAAGGAGAAAAAAAATTTCCCACAAATGTGACAAGAGGTAATTATATTACTCTACAGCATTCATACAAACTGATGATTCATATTAAGTTTGTAACAGTTAAATGAGCAAAGAACATAGACAATTCACAAAGCAAAATTAACTAGTAAACAAATACAGAAAGACGTTAACACAAGGTGGAATGGAGTACCATTTTTAACTATAAAATTAGGGAAAAAAAGAAAATCAATGGTGGTAGGATAGACTAGCAATCTACCTTATTTATTGTAGCTGATAAGGTAAACAGGTACTCTGGAAAGTTTAACAATAAATTTTAAAAATCATAACATACATTTATTCCAAAAGAGTTATATACCTGACAATACTCATTTCTTCATTATTTTTAAGTCACTATCCCCAAACAATAAACAAAAAACTTAAGTCAAATTAAATGCTTATTAACAGGGGCATGGTTAAGGACACTGTAACACATCCATAGGATGGAATATTATATAGTCATTAAAATGATAATTACAAAAACTATATGGAAACAGCAATGTTTACATATGACAAAACATTAAATGAAAAACGTAAGATACAAAATTGTATTCACATTGATAACTATACAAAATTGTATGTAAGACTGGAAAGGAAAACAAACCTAATAGTTACGCTAGTGTGGTAGACTGAATGCTATTTTTTCTTCTATATTCCATATTGTTTTTATGATTGGAAAAAATATTTGATTTCTAAAACACAGCTGCTCTTGAGTAACTATGAGAAAATTTCATCTCACTTTTCTTTGAAAACAATTTCCTCACGGTCTTGAGCAGCCATTACAAAACTAGCCAAGCCCACAAAGGTACCAAATCTCTTACGTATCCCTCGTGAAGCAACAAAAATTCTGACTCCATTAGTCATTCAGAACAGCTTTGGACATCAAAAGACCTGTCTCCTGTTAGTCACTGCAGGGTGGAAAAGCAGAGCTGGTGACCTTGGACCTTTCTACAATGTTCTGTGATCAGTGGAAGGATCACAGAACTTCAGTGTTCAACCAGCTGTCAATATGACAATTTTCACAAGTACTAATTCTGCTTTTTAAAAAAGGAAAATGAAAAGCTGCCACCCACATTATATCGTCAGCTGCCTCAAAAACCTGTAAAGAAATTTTAAATCCTTCAAGGTTCACAGGAAACTGTGGTTGTTAGTAGTTGAACTAGCTCAAAACTAAATAAGTGCTATACCTCTATATCAAAATTCCCCAACGTCTGAAACAATTGAGGGTTACACAATCAAACATGCCTATTAAAAAAGAATGTTAGATTTAGGTAGTCAAGGCTACCAAGGAAGATTTCCACACAGAGAGAATGCACTGTTGCACAGAGATGTAACTGAAAAAAAAAACAATTAAAATATATAGAATATTCTGACTTACCATCTCGGCTGCCAGTCACGATTTCAGGCGCTCCTTCCCCGATTCCTAGTCCACCTACACCATCTATAGCATTTATAATTTCTTTATGGCCCTTTACAGAATATACTGGGATCTCCGGAGCTTCCAAATTCCTAAACAACAGAACACAGCTTCTTACTTACACTACCTGTCCCAAATGTTTAGGACACTACTAAAAGTTAAGAATGCATACCATGTGTAGAGTTTCGTTTAAAAATAAGGGTTTTGCTCTTAAGTTAATTTATACATTTACTTTCATATTTTTCTCTCCACTTTAGCTTCTTTCAAGCCCTCAGTGAGAACTGTCATCATTCAATTCGGGATTCTACTCTGGAGCCCACTTTACTCAGTGGTCCTCAAAGATGATCCATCTAGGACCTCTGCACATGAACTAGCAAATATGCTTGTTAACAGATGCAGATTCACGACAGACATTCCACAGACATAATGAATAAGGACCTCTGGGATGGGGCCCCAAACCTGCTGATTCTCTGGTACACTCAAGTCTGATAATCACTGCTTTAAATAGAGAATAATTCAAAGTGATTTAGAATGTTTCCAAAGTAGGCTTTGATAGTTTGATCTTGAGATCTTTTGAAGGTTAAAATATGAGTTGTGCTTACTTGGTATACATTTCTTCCTTTATAATGTATTCTTTTCTCACTGAATTTCATACTGATTTTCATCTAGTTATATTGTGTTTTTCAATTTATCATCATGCTGGTCACAATAAATATTATAGTCAAACTGGCTGAAGTTTGTCTAACTCTAGGTTAGTTAAGAGATCGGAATCCAATAAAGTACCTATTACAGAGTGCCTCTGTGTCTACAATGGATGGCTGGGTGACGAATGTCAAGTAAGTTATGTTAATACATCCCTTTTCTTGCCTCCCTCCGTCTCCCCCCTTCTTTTGCTTTTCTATTAGAGCCTCTACCCATATACCTCTTTAACAAGTCAGCTTTCAATAACTCACACTTTTTCTTTTTAATGAATGTAGCTATTCACAACATGTAAACCCAATTTATTACTGGGCCAAGATTTATTAGTAAAATCTCGCTAATCAAAAATTGAGATAGTTTAACCTAGTTTAGAGACGAAGTTTATCTTTGTAGCATTACTGTGAAAGAATCAAGAGATTAAATAGGACTGAAGTTCTACTTAAAAGAACTGTTTCACTACTTTTACAGACTTTGAAACACTACTTTAACATGAAATTATAACACTTACCCATAGAAATAAGTCAGAAATATCTGTATTATACTAGGAAACTCTATTAGGAAGATAGTCAACAGTCATATTTTTGCATATTCTTATGTTGAAATATATTTACTCTAAGAAATAACATTCAGACTGGTCTCTCTCCCAATTTTTTTGAAAATATATGACACAGCATATAAGAACTGATGCATTCTAGTAAATGCTAACTTAATTAGCAGTTAAAGCAAGGGGAAATTCAAATAGCTTAAAACAAGGGGAAATTCAAATAGCTTTATTCTGTTTACATTATGATTCTAAGACAGATAAATATGTCAAAGCAATTTGATTACAAAGTAGCAGATTCTAAGTTAGAATCAAGAAAGGTCACAATAGAAAAGATGAGGTAGGGAAGATAGTGTCTCTAGAACATTACCGTACACTTTAAATGATTAGGTGATATTCCTAAAAAGTAATTAGAGAGGAATTTCAATTCACTCAACTCTAATTTAAATATGAGGAACTAACTCAAGGTAAAACATGAAAATTAAAAGCATTTGGCACAACTGTGATTGTGCTCATTTAAAACAAGTGTATCTTGATTTGCTCATAAGATGTGTTCCTAAAAAGTTGTGCTTAGATGTTAGCTACAGCATTAAAAACAACAATTTTAAATGACTTGGGAGTTCTATATTGAAAAATTAAAACAAACAAAAACTCAGCGTACCATTCTGTAATGCCAAAGATCTTGGTGAATTATAAACAATTAATACCTAATTTTTCAGTGTTACACATGTGCATTTTTATATATTGTGTCCTTCAAGGTGGAAGGGAATAGCCCTTTACGTATAAATACAGGATATTAAATGCTAGCGCCAAACAGCATGCGTGGAAATAAATATTGATAACATTATTCAAAATATCTAAAGAAAAATAGGTTAGTATTTTTAAATGGATTTTGAACATGAAATCTAGAAATATACACTAAAATTCTCACATTTTTATAAATAGTTAAAATTGAACAAGGAAAGAAACATTTTAAAATTAGAATTCTCTCTTTCAGAGGAAGGGTAACAAGACTATCAAAGAAATAGCTTATCTCATGTCTTATTACTGATTAAACAACCTTACCATATATGAAGGTTTCCAGCAAAATCTCCAGTAGCTAAATATCTCTGCTGTAAAGATGTTGCACCAAATGTTCCACATTTAATGGGTTTGGCCTTTTCAATCTTGATAGAAGGGAAGGAGAGAGGATACATTATTTACATAAGTAGCTATCTATAGTCCACGACCTTTATGGCTCTAATATAGGATTTAAATAAGGCACATAATATGAAAGGCAATTAAAACATTTTCTGATAAAAATTATCATGCTTTCCTTTAGTCATTTTTGTATAGCTTAGAAGTATGTAACTGTCAAAAAGAATGAGTTTTGCCTTCCTCTCATCTCACTAATGAGACATTCAAATGCTGACAACTCTACCGTCTCCATTGGTTTGCAAATATGAAAATTTCAGCATTTAATGTGGTATTCTTCTTTAAGATCCTCAGTAGAAATAAGAACATAATAACATATTTTTTCCAGATGGCTAAGGGAACAAAAATGTCTACGTGTCTCTTCTAGTTTTTCCCTGCAAAACCCTATCAACTGAGACTGTTTATGTCCTCTTCTCTCTGGGACCCTTTGAATGCATAGAGATTTGTACAGCCGTGTGTACCAAACAAAGGCACTGCTATCAGTATGGATCAGCCGATCTTTTGAAGTTTCTTTAATTTAAAAGACTATCGCAGCAAGTATTGTGTATAATCACATTGGTAAAACAACCCCACGCAATGCACTATTTAAGGTCTACGGCTTATGGAAATCAGGTGAAGACGACCATATCACTGAAAAGGTCCTTGGAAATGATCTAATGGAATAGCCTCCTGCGACAGACGAAGAGACTGAAGCCTAGAGCTTTACAGATTCACCCAACCCAGGCATTCAACATTTAATGAGTTCCTACTAAATGCAAGCCAATGAACTAGGCAGAAGAGGTGCAAAAATGAATGAGATTGGTCATGCTCTTAACGAGTTTACAACACAAATATGTATCAGTTTCTGACTCCTCCCACACATATCCACATGCAATACACTACTCTCACCTACTCCCACACCTCTGTGGGTCTTCCATTAATCTTTCATTTCCCTGCTGCCCCCACCCTCCCAAGTCACTGAAGTCCCTCCTGGCGTCTGCTTGTCCTGCCCCTGGAAACTCTGAACAGCCTGGAATTAGATAAGGCCACACTCTAGCCCCATAATATCACCTTCCATTTACTGTCAGCCTCAACAGGGCAAAACTATTCTTCTTATTTAATCTCTTACAATCTTTAAATTTTTTATCCTTAACAATTCCAAAAGTAACACATTTTCAATTCAAAACATGTTCAAAAATTCAAACAAAAGACTGAAGGGTAAAAAGTGAGTCTCACTTTGACATTCCCCTAAAGTAATCACCATCCTTCTAGACCTCTTTCTACACATTTACAAACACATACAGGTTTGTTTTAACATAAAGAGGATCATAATACATTGTCCTTTGACTTGATTTTTTTCAGTTAACAATATATCCAGATAAACTTTTTTCCCTCTGCAGAGTTCCCCAGTTTCTAGGGCATCTCCCCTTGTAACCTTTCAGTTCCTGGGACAACCTTCATCCCTTCTGCTAGGGTCGGCCTGTTTCATGTACTTTAAAAAATAATTTCCCTACCACTTTCGATGTCTGGTGGGCATTTCCATACAGGGTACACATAGTAATTTTCAAAGAAGAAGAAAGAAAATAAAATTCACTTACCACAAACTATAACTAAACTTTTCTTTCATGATTCAAAAGATATCACATGGTACAGGGCTTTAGAAACTCCAAGCTAGTTGAGTTTTCTCCCTGTTTGGGATCTGGATAAATTAGCAGTTACTATGAGCCAGGTCTAGGAGAAAGCATTCACAGCTTCCTTGGAATTGTCTACTAAACAAAATCAGTCATCTACAAAAATATGGCTGTAAAAGATCACACTGATGAGAAGCACAGAACCACAGAATGTTAATTTTTCTTTTTTTAATGAATAGGTGGTCTGAGATAGTATCAGTTATTCACTGCATCAGAAAATTGATATTAATTTATTTCAGTTATTTTTCCAATTTTCTGAAAAAGTATCTTACCATGGGGCAATACGCAGGATCAAAACTTTGTCAATTTAACAAAGCAGACAGTTCCAACTCCAAATCACTTATGTCCTCCTCATCTTCCCCTTTCCCCAAATAAAAGTACCTGAAATAATATATTAATAGTGATATAGCTAATCACTAGTAATTAATTAGTCACTATTAACTAATCACCTAATCACTATTAGGACACAATTTCTATGGTTAAACTAATTCAGAACTCCAACTTACACCAACAGATCAAACAGCTACCTAGTCCTTCCCCCCATTTACCTCACACTGAGCCTCGGTCTCCCCCAGCTCCATGTCACTGGTGATGGCTCCCACGGTCTAAGGCAGAGCGTGAAGACAGGCCTCTCAGGTGAGAAGCAGGTGCGCCCTGACGGCCAGGAATATGGTTCCAGGGACTCGGGGAATTAGGAGCTGCAGGGCAGCTGGCATCAGACCTTGATATAACTCTCTGGGAAAATACTTCTCAGAGAAGCCTCGGGAAGACTGGCCACCCATTTTCTTCTCTTCCACCAGCTCAAGTATTCTGCTTCCCATAACTCCACTGCGATCACCTGGAGCAGGTGGGCTGTTCTCTGATGGGCTCTCTCTTCTTCCTAGGCCATGGAAGAGGTAAACGCTAGCCTCTACTTTTCAGTCCCTACAGTAAGCACCAGGTTCTTCTAAGATTTTACTGCTGGTAACAAAAAATTGGGAAGCAAAAACTTTCCTCCTGGTGTTATTCCTTTACCTAACTTCCGCCTTTAGACCCTTTGGATAGAGAAACCACGCTCCTGGAACACACTGATATTCTGGCAAAGATCACAACACAAATTCACGAAAAAAAAGCTAATGGATATGTTTTTCTCAAATTTAAGTTTTCTTCAATAATTTTTTTTAGCTTGTCTGTTAAAAAAATACTAGCAAATGAACACTAGTAGGAAAACCTGGAAATGAGGATAAAAAAATTTTATGTATGGTTACTTGTGATGTAAAGATCAGAATATGCATAATACAGCCAGATTTTTCTACTGGAAAAACCCTTCCCTGTGCAGAGATGGAACTCACTATCCCAATATTTCACGGTGTTCCAAAAACAGGACCACGAGGTCCAGATGTTCCGACACCTGAACTCACCTGCGGATTCCTACCTTAGAAGAAACCAAACTGAGAGCCACTCCATTACATGACAGGCCCTACAGTAGTTTCACATTTGTCACTGCATAGATTCTAAAAGTGGGTCTTGACTGCAAATATAACGGAATGAAATAAAATGTATCTCCGGTTAGAGGCACAGACTCACAGGAGCAGCACCAAGGCCTGTGGTACACAAAATGTATGAAGCCCTTTGAAACCCGGCCTTGCCTGCCTCTCTCACCTCATTTCCTGCTTCTCCTCCCCTCCCTACTACACTCCAGCTGCACCTGCGGCTTTCTTTTTGTTCTTCAGACCCACCAAAGTCATTTCTACCTCATTTCTACCTCCCACTGCCTGGACTGCTCTTCCATCAGATCATCATGTCTTCCTTCTTCTCCCAATTCAGATTTCAGTTTAAATGTCACCTCCTCTAAGAGGCCTTCCCTGCCCCTCCCATCTGAAGTAGAACCCACACATCACTATCACTTGCCCTGTTTAATCTTTTTTATTTCACTTATCAACAAAATTATTTTATTCTTTAAATTATCTATCTCCTCCCTTTCTAGAATGAGTCCCGTGAGAATGGGGCCTTGTCCAATTTGTTCAACACCTGGTCGGTGTTCATCGTTTGTTGAATGAGAGTATAAATGAACATCTATTAATCTCTCAGTCCTCGAGCCGGGGGGAGACGCCACTGCTGGAGTTCCACTCCCATTTCTCTCAGCATGTTTTCACGTGACACACCGTCCACTTTCTGGTGTGATTTATATGCAATATAATATTGAACACCTGTATACTAGATACTGTTCTAAATGTCCTTCTAGACTAGACCATCCCTTATTCTAACACACACAACCGCCCACTAGGTGTTTGGAATGCCCCTTTCCAGATGAGAAAACAGGCTCAGAGGACAGAGAGACTTGCCCAGGGTCCCTAGAACCAGGTAGACTCCAAGCTCTTTCTACTAAACTAGACTGCCCCTAGGTCCATCTGTAAATCAAGTAAATAAACATTTTACTATGTAGCCCCCACTCTGCGAACCTGAGAGCCATCAGAAGCACCAAAGAAACGTTCCAATCCTGAAATGGATTGCGGAGATAAACAGCACAGGCATGAATTAAACCTTTCAGATTTGTGTCCTTTGGTTTTTACCTTCATTCATATCTTTAAAGATATAAATATACAGTATTTATGCTTCCCTCATGTTCTTTTCTCCTTGTATCAAAGAAACATAGACATTTATAGAGACTCGTGGTCTGTTGTGTGAGAATCAAATTAAACTCAAAATACATAAACATATTAAAAATAAACTCAAATGTATAAACATCTTATTATCTGCAACACAGCAAAGACAGCACTTTGCTCAGAAAGGCTGAGCTATGCTGGCAAGTGGACTGAAAAACGCAGGGGTGTTTTCTCTTTCCTCAGACATTCTTGGAAATCATAATAGTAGCTAAATTAAGAGAGGACATTGGAATGAAGCTAACTTTTTATAGTTAATAAAAGGGCTCCCTCCCTGCTCCCGGTACATATTTTATCTTTGGAAAAGAAACGATGAAAAGAATTCAGTGGTTACTTAAAATTTTTCTTGCTGGAAAACGGGTTTTAAAAAAAATGAAAATCGATTTTGTGAAATTTGTTCCACAAATGAGTATAAATTAACTTTTGCTGTATGATAATGAAAATGACCATCAGTGATGGTCATATTTGACCTAACTGTTGGTTCTCTTTGCTACAATAAGTTAACATAAGTAAAGAAGCCCATGATCAATAATTCCCACCAGAGCTATTTTTGTTCTATCTGTGGGTGGGTCTAGTACAGCTTGTCAGTATTTCCTCCTCCACATCCTGGCACTACTTAATTAACATTAAAAGGCTTAGTCAACCAAATGCTAACAGGCAGTGAATTCAGTGGCACAGGGGCTAAAAAAGTAGAACTTTATTAGCTTATTACTAATTTTTAAAGTGTAAACATCCCTAACTATAATTCCATTCTTCAGGCCACCCTAGTCCTTTGCACCAACTAGAAAAAAGGTGCCCTTTACAGGCTGATGAAGTCTCACATCTGTAAGGCTTGATGAGAAATAGATGGACTTCAGCTCTCACCTGAACCCTTGGTCAGGCACCTATGTGTGGTATAACCAACTGCTCATCTGTACGAGGCCCTGCCCTCATTCCCTATCTACCCAACAAGACAAGGAAGGCATCAACAAGACCTATCTGCTTCCTTCCTCTTTATCTTGGATAAAAAGCATGGGGTTTGGAGCACATGACTTGAGGTGGTTCCACAAGGATAGAATCAAGAATGTTTCCTAACATTTTAATAAATAATTCATCTAGTCCAATGGTAGTTAACCCTGGTATTCATTAGAATCACCTGGTGGAAGTTTAAAAAATACTGATGTCTAGGCCTCACTCTAGTCTAGACGCACGAGTCCCAGTGCATCAGAATTTCTAGGGGTGGGACCAAGGCATGAATATTTAAAACACACACATACACACAAACAACAGCAACAAGACACATTCAGGTGATCCTGATGCACAGTAAGAGATGGGAATCAGTGACCCTGTACTTAACCTATATTCTTTTCCACTGCATCATCATAGCCAAATACAAGTTCTTAAATGTGTTTCTACATGTTTTATCCTCTCTTCAGACAGCAGGCTCTTGAGGAGACGGGACTCATCTTTCAAATACCTTTGGTCCTTCTTTAGCATAGTACCTTGAAATAATAAGGTCTTAATAGATGGTTTATGACAGAAAAAAAAAGACCCAAAGGAAACAGGTGAATATATAAAAAGTGGTTACTCCTAGGGCTGAGATTATGGCTGATGTTAATTTTCTTCTTACCCACATTTTTAAAACGCTCTATCATAAACACACAAAACTTTTGTTAAAAAGCAAGATTATTTTTTTAAAAACTTGCTAGAATCCTCCAGAATCTCTAGAAGGGACAAAGAGCACTATTTCACTTCATGGAACAAGTGTATTCCTGAAATGTACACAAGTCATCGAGTCTTATTAAAAAACGTCACAAGTCTGTAGATGCTCTCTGCTTAAGCTGTGACTGGTTCCTGATACTTCACCATTAGGTTTCTTTCTCCTATTCCAATGTTTCCCATTCGTTCAATCCCCGGACTCCAACTGATTAATGATCAGTAAATCAATAGTTAAGTTTCCCAAGTTAGATCCTTTCACAGACATAGATGTACTCATTCTCTTAACAAGTCATTCATCGAGTGGCTGCTCCTTACAAACCACACTCAAGAAAGACACTGTTCTTGCTCTGCAGGAGCTTACACTCCAATCAGGGGTAAACGGGACAGAAGGATATATCTCTGGCACAGATAATAAGCACCATATGAATGCAATGTAAAGAACAGTTATTTTGTGTGGGGCTAAGGAAGGAACTTCATAAATCAGATCATCTGAACGGGACCTCAGAATAGAAATAGGTGACTGGGGCCTAAGGGGTGAACAACATAAGGAAAGGTGGAAAAGAACAAGCCATGTTTAGGATCTCTGAGTAGAGTGCCTGGCTAGAGAAGACAAACTAAACAAGAAGACTGGCACTCATAGAAATCTAAAGTGGGAAGGGGCCTTACATACCTTCTAATCTAAGCTTTTCTATGGAAATTGTATTCATTCTTTACCTACCAGGTTAACCCCTAGCTCCTCCAAGCAGATTCTCTCCATAGCTTTTGATCTCTGGAGTTCTCAGCCTTCCCTGTAGTCTATTAACCCTAAACACCTGAGTATGACTAACCTTTTTTTTTTCAGGCAACCCACGTCAAAGCATTTTTAAAACTGTAAACAGGTATAAAAATGTTAATTAATGTCATTATTCTCCAATTCTTTCGCTAGTGATCTTTACAAAACTTGTAAACCTGATCTTGCTACACCCTGTTGAAAGCCCTTCAACATTGTCCCATTTTTCTTAGAAAAAAAGCATAAACCTTTTAAATGACCTACAGATCTTGCGACTTCTGGTCCCTGCTTACCACTCATATTTCTTAAGGCGATAACCTCTCTCCCGGCGCTGAACTCCACATATGCTGTTTCCTCTGGAAACCTTCTCCACTCCTAGTTTGGCCTGGTTAGCTTCTACTCATCCCAAATCTGTTTTTACTCTCAGAGAACTGCGTTCCTTTATGTTAGAGAATTCATCTCAGTTTGTATTTGTGCACTGTTGATTTGATTATTTAACTGATTCTCTCTTCCACTAGAAAATAAACTCCAAGAGATCGGGGACCTTGTCATTCACATGCCTGGGAATACCAGGCAATCAACTGATACTAGTTTAAAGAATAAATGTTAGGTTGTCTCCTCCAATTACACAGCAGGCATTCTGGTGCCTGCTTTGGCTCTGCTTGTGTGGAAAAAGCATGTTACTAACATGGTAACATGTTATTAACAGACTCTCCACAAAGAACTGCGCACCGCCCAGAAGGGCCTCAAAGTTAGACACGAAATCGTAACGTCACTTCAGAGACCTCGCGCTGGACTGCGAGGGTAGCTGGAGGTGGATGGAGGAAGGGACCGGCAGGGCGCAGATGAACTAGCCCGCCGAGGAGAATTCAGGACTCGAACGAAATCGTTTAATGTCGGAAGTATTCCTCAATCTGCGATCAGCTTGCTAGCCCCACGCAGCTGGAACTGTGCTTCTCGGGAACCCTGGAGGAAGGCTTTGGCAAAAAAGAAATGCAGACCCCCTCCCTCCCCCCAGGACCCGCACTCGCCCCACAACGGCACTTCCACATCCCACAACTGCGCAGTCTCGACCCGGCACCCACCTCCCGAAGCAGCTTTAGGTCACCGTGCTGGATCTCGTACAACTGAATGACGCCGGTCCCCCGTGCGAAGTTGCCCATGGTCACAAATTTGGCGCTGCAGGGCACCCACTTACAGTCAAACACCGTGTAGTTGAGGCCCTTCTGGATATGAGCGATGATCTGAGGCTTCTCGAAGGCCGACATGGTCCAGCCGATTTCGCCTCTGCCAACGGGCACACCCAGACCCTGACAAAACACTAACCTGGAAACCAGACTCCAAATATTGACGATTGTCCCTTCCGTTTGCGTACTCGCCCCTAAACCCTCGCTAGTTGGATTTAGTTGTCTCAGGTAATGCCAGATGCGCTACTGAAGTCACACAAGATTTTTCTTCATGACGGCCCAAACGTTTATCGTTTCTACCTACTGCCTTTCGCACATACACAGATTAGAGATCACAGAATACTTTGGCTGCCAATAGCGGGGCCAGAGGGAAACTCTAAGAATCAGGCATATTGTAGGATAGCCCTGCTTCCTCACCAACAAACACACAAAATCATGCTTCAGGTCCCCTGCGTGGGACCTCTCAGGGAAGGGGGAGGAGCCCTGGGGCTGGTTGGCGAACGCCGGATTGCGCGAGGTGCGCCTGCGCAGTACAGCAGTGCACGTGTTCGAGCCGGAAGCGCCCACTGGGACTGGAGATTCCTGGGGATGGCAACCGAGATGGAGGCGCAGAGTGTCGGGGCCGAGGACGGCTTCACCCAGGTCACCCGCAAGGGTGGCCGGCGGGCGAAGAAACGGCAGGCTGAGCAGCTGTCCGCAGCGGGGGAGGGCGGGGACGCGGGCCGCATGGACACCGAGGAGGCCCGACCCGCGAAGAGGCCGGTCTTCCCGCCCCTCTCCGGGGACGGGTTCCTGGTACTGGCGGGACCCTGGGACAGAAACGGGGCAGGGGCCGGAGGCGGGTCAAGCCGGTGGTCTCTGGGTGATGTTGAAGCTGCTGGGGCTCTTCTGACGTGAAGTTCTATTAGAGAAGTAACTCTGCTGAAGTTTAATTCGTTCAGTTAAAGGAAGCTTTTTGTGGATGGGCTGTCACTTTACAACTCCACGCCCGTTCCTCCAGACGTCTCCTGAGTTGTGTGTTCTTTTATTGTAGGGTGGGAAAGAAGAAACAAGGAAAGTGCCAGTCCCAGCTAACAGATACACGCCGTTAAAAGAGAACTGGATGAAGATATTTACTCCTATTGTAGAACATTTGGGACTTCAGATACGCTTTAACTTGAAATCGAGGAATGTAGAAATCAGGGTAAGGAGAATGTCAGGCATTTCCAAATATAGCAGGGTTTCTCCTACAGGGATGAAAATGCACCAATAGACTTTCCTTAAGGGGACTTATTTTGTCAAATGGTTTTCTTCCAGTTTTCTAATTTAGTGAGTTTGAACTTCTCAAATGCCTTCAGGGTCTGCGTTTAACACAAATATTAATTAAATTCATATGTTAGGTCTGAGATCGAAATACTGGCTATGCCTGTGCCTGTTTTGTACAGTAATGTTCTCTGTTGAATTGAGAAGAGGTCCAGAGGCCGGCCCTGTGGCGTAGTGGTTAAGTTTGCGCCCTCCGCTGCTGGTGGCCACGGTTCGGATCCCAGGCCCACACAGAAGCACCGCTTGTCAGGCCGTGCTGTGGCAGCGTCCCATATAAAGTGGAGGAAGATGGGCACAGATGTTAGCCCAGGGCCAGTCTTCCTCAACAAAAAGAGGAGGATTGGCATGGATGTTAGCTCAGGGCTGATCTTCCTCACCAAAAAAAGAAAAAAAGAGGTCCAGTAAAGAGGTTATCATAAACAGAAGTATGTAAATAATGAACCCAAGTGCATGCTGCAGTACAGGCAATATATATTTTAAAAGTATTCTTTTGGGGAAAAATATGTATTTTGAGAATAAGTATAAATTATATATATATATGTATTTTTTTTTCATTCCATGGTGTCAGTCCAGAAATTAGACAATTAAAATTAATTGACTTATGTCTTCTTTTTCTGGATGTCAACTTTGTTTCATAATCAATGACCAAAATTAATTACATCTTCCATTTTGAGGACTGTTAATGCTGTTATAGATTTATCTCTGTTGAAAGACCAGAATAATGGAATAATGCAGAGAGGCCCTTCTCTAAATAGTTGGTAAAGGTTAAAATAATAGAACTTGACAGTAGAACTCCTCTTCGTTCCCACTGCCACTTTCATTTTCTGGTTTCATGCCAAAACTTCTTGTTTCCTTATGGGTTTCTGTTGTTTCATTGCTTTAAATCTCCTTTCACCACTCCACCCTTTATACCAGAGCCAGATTAATTTTCCCAGACCATGCTGCTTTTGTTATGATATCCTGGTATCTTCAGTGTCTCTGAAGGATAAAAGTTAAGTTTTTGACTGAACTTGCCTTTCAAGTACAAGTCTCAGTCCTAAGTTCGTCTCACCATCTCTGAACATTTGTATCTTCACACTTATGGGTGGCTTTGCTCTCTGAAGAAGGCCCTCTCCTCCCTACCCCCTTTCTCTTCCTATCTCAGTTCCAGTCATCCTTCAGAGTCTAGCTCAAGTTCTTTCTCCTTTATGATGGGTCCCTTTTTCAGTCGTGTCGTCAGTGCCTAGACTTCGATTGTGCTTAGCTGTCTTGTGTATTGCAGTGTTATCAATTTGGATTCCACTAACATTTGCTGATACTACTCTTTGCCAGACACAGAGTGGTGCTTTGGCATGCACTACATCATTTTGATCTTTAGGACAGCCCTATGAGGTGGATGACTTACATAGCCCCATCTTATAGATGTGAGGAAACTGAGGGGCAAAGGAGTATCTTAGCCAAAGTCATCAAGGTAATAAGTGAATCGTGATGCTAGTAGGGACCTCTCAGGATCTCCTACTCTGACCTCCTTATTTTACAGGTGAGAAAGCTTAAGATCTAGAGTGTCTATGGGACTTGCCCAAGGTCACATATAGGATTGGGACTGGGCTCTAGTTTTAAATGTGCCATTACACAGCCCTGTATTGTTTTTGTGTGTGTGTGTGTGTGTGTGTGTGAGGAAGATTAGCCCTGAGCTAACATCTGTTGCCAATCCTCCTCTTTTTTGCTGAGGAAGACTGGCCCTGGGCTAACATCCGTGCCCATCTTCCTCTACTTTATATGGGATGCCGCCGCAGCATGGCTTGACAAGCAGTGCGTCAATGTGCGCCCAGGATCCGAACCAGCGAACCCTGGGCCGCCACAGTGGAGTGTACGCACTTAACAACTACGCCACCGGGCTGACCCCAGCCCTATATTGTTTTAAATTTGTCAAATATGTGGTCTCTTCTACTAGATTGTGTGAGTGGAAGAGTGGAAATAACAGTTTTGGAATCAGATCTGTGTTCAATCTCACTTTTTCCACTTTTTAGTACTTTAGTTTCCTCACATATAAAAGTATTGGGTGCCCCGTAACATAGTGGTTAAGTTTGGTGTGCTCTGCTTCGGCGGCCTGGGGTTCGCAGTTTGGATCCCGGGTGTGGACCTGCACCAGTCATCAGCTGCGCTGAGGTGGCGACCCACATACAAAATAGAGGAAGATTGGCACAGATGTTAGCTCAGGGACAGTCTTCCTCAAGCAACAAAAGAGGAAGATTGGCAATATATGTTAGCTCAGGGTGCATCTTCCTCACCAAAAAAAAATATATATGTATATGTAAAAGTATTTATATTACTTAATATTCAGAGTTGTTGTGAAGATTAGAGCTATAGCGTGCAAAGCACCTTTGTCGTGCATCTTTTACAGTGGTAGGCATTTTAGGAATAGCAGCTATTTCTGTGATTATTGAATAAACTCCATGAGGGTACCATCCTCGCTTAAACCATTCTTGGTATTAGTCCTCGAGTTGTTGCTTTGGGAAACATCAGCATGTAAATGATGACTGAAGTCAGGAGATAGATCAGGACTCCCAGGAGACTGGACTGAAGGGGAAGAAGACCAACTTGGGCATTGACGGGATGAACCGGGGGCTGGAGCCCTTCAGAATGTGAGCGATTGGGCTCTGCCAGAGGCATCTTGCTGATCGTCCCGGAATCCAATCAGGCAAGGAGCATGGTCGGTCATTTGACGGTCTTTGGGTGGAACTGCCCAGCTGTGGAGCTGGAACCTTTTATTTTGCAAATTAAACACAGTACTTACCTCACCAAAAACAGAGTCATAGAGAATATATTGGGGAAGGGTGATGGTGAAGGAAATTACAGTAATGGGAAAGGTATTTTGTTAGAATATTGTCTTTTTCATCCCCAGCTATAATTTGTGCTAATTTTTTTTTTAACAGACATGTAAAGAAACCAAGGATGTTAGTGCTCTGACAAAAGCAGCTGATTTTGTGAAAGCCTTTATTCTAGGGTTTCAGGTGGAGGTGAGTGACTTCATGACGTCTGAAATGGGGGCTTGAAAAATACTGAGTAAGAATGTTTCAATGGATTTGGGCTTTTTTTTTTTTTTGAGTTTTCTAGTTCTACAGTTTGTGAATTTTAGCTTACCGCTCATTCTCAGGTGTTTATTTTTATATTGTAGGACGCACTTGCCCTTATTAGGTTGGATGACCTCTTCCTGGAGTCTTTTGAAATTACGGATGGTGAGTGTGTGGTGGTCTTTCTTATGAAATACTGTACTTTTGTATTGTGTGTGACTGTCAGCTTTCTAATAACATCAATTGAGCTATATTATTAGCAGCTTTTTAAAAAATACATATTTCGTGTCTTTTAGTAGGGAAATTTAGTTAATGATTAAACTTTATGTGGAAGTGGTGGTGTACTGGAATACACTGGAATGGCTTACCTCTTGACATCCTGCTTTTCTCATTTAGTTAAGCCCTTAAAGGGAGACCACCTGTCAAGGGCAATAGGAAGAATCGCTGGCAAAGGAGGAAAAACCAAATTCACCATAGAGAATGTGACACGGACGCGGATAGTTTTGGCTGACGTGTAAGCATGTGATCTTGAGAAAATTACTGTCATCATTTGTATTTGATATTTTGCTGGTCTCAAAAAGTCGTCAAGATTGTATTTTATGCATAATGTCACCACTAAATCTTTGTTAATGTATGGTTCTGGATGAATAGATACCTACTTTGAAAGCAGATTGTTAGTTGAGAAAATCTTAGAAATTATAGCTTTTTTCTCAATTAGCAATGAAGGAAATGTTTAGAATCACTATTAAAAGAAATTACATGACAGGTAAAGATTTAAATAGTATTTCAGGGGAGTCTATTAAATCAGTAGGGGAGAGCAAGGAGTAGGTGTTTTAAATGCCATTGTGAGGCTTTCCTTTAAAATATATATATATATATATATGTAATTTATTTATTTATATATAAAAGCCTTTCATAAAAGGAAGGTGAATATTGCACGTTGGGTGAGAGCAATTATATGTGAACATAAATAAGATGATACGGGCTTAAAAAAGGGTGTAGGAAGTCAAGCTGGGATTACCCCTGTCTGAGGTTGAAGCTGCTCCGTTGCCAGGTCGGGATTACTGGCAGATGGCTCAGGGATTATATAATGCCAGGAAGTTGGGAAATGAAGAGGTTGACTGAGAAGAGGAGGGATAGGCCTGCTACTAAATCCGGAAATAATTTTATTTAAAATTATGCTATCTTTGCTCTAAACTGCAGGGCTTACCATTATTTAGAATCTAAATTTTAGACGATTTTTATAGTTTTCAAGATAACCATAATACTATGTTGGTGGCCCTCTTTACCTGAAGACAGGTGTATTATAATTCTGATCTTATATGAATTGAGCCTAGAGTTGGAAATATGGAGCCACAGGAAAAGCTTTTTTGAACCAGAAATTTCATAAATTTTGAAATGTATACCACATTTAAAAATATCACATATAGCCCTAAAAACTTTTGTGTACTTAGAAGTCTAAAAATGTAACTGATTTGCTGATCACATTGTGGGTAGTATGTCATATAAATTTATAAGTATATTTATAAGTGTTAACTTAAAAACTGACTAGTTGAACTAATTTTTTTAACAGTTCTATTGCAGTATGATTTACATATAAGAAAATCCACCTCTTTTAAGTATACAGTTCAGTGAGTTTTTTGGCAAATGTTCTGTAGTCCTGTAACCCCACCACACTCACAGACTTCATCACTCCAAAAGTTCCTTGTGCATCTTTGCAGCCCCACCCAGTTCCTAGGCAATCACTGATCAACTTTCTGTCACTATGGTGTTGCCTGTTCTAGAAATTCATGTAAATGGAAATACACAGTGTGTAGTCTTTGGTGTATGGCTTCTTTTAATTAGCATGTTGTTTTGAGTTTCTCCATTTCATTGGGTGTCTCGGTGATAACATCTAATGGCCAAGTCCTCGTCCATTGTGTGCCCATGCCACATTTGTTTATCATAGTTGATGGACATTGGGCTTGTTTTCAGTTTGGGGCTATTATGAATAATGTTGCTGTTGAGTTGCTGTTGACTTGCTTTTTATATCTTTTTTATTTTTCTTACAAACTGAATTACATACTAAAAATTAAAGAAAAGTACTGTCTTATAGTTTTTGCTATAAATAGGCTAATTGAAAATCCACATGTGCAATGACTTGTATTAATTAGGATATAGCCATAAGATGGACTATTATGTGCCTATCAGTGTTATTTTTGATGAGTTGCTTATAACCTGGCAAAATACAGTGTAATGTGAGCAAGATATAAAACTAAAAACTATTTGTTCCAGATATATTCAGTATATCAGATGGGAAATAATATTGCTCATGTATCCTGACAGGTACATTCCATTCCGACTACTGCCCCATTACTTTGGTTGTTTTTAGTAGGAAAACTACTCACACTTCATATATTCTTGCTATCTTTATTTGCTCATTGTTCATGCTCTATTTTATTTTATTTTATTTTTTGTGAGGAAGATCAGCCCTGAGCTAACATCCGTGCTAATCCTCCTCTTTTGCTGAGGAAGACCGGCCCTGAGCTAACATCTATTGCCAATCCTCCTCCTTTTTTTTTGCCCCAAAGCCCCAGTAGATAGTTGCATGTCATAGTTGCACATCCTTCTAGTTGCTGTATGTGGGATGCGGCCTCAGCATGGCCGGAGAAGCGGTGCCTCGGTGCACGCCCGGGATCCGAACCCGGGCCGCCAGTAGCGGAGTGCGCGCACTTAACCACTAAGCCACGGGGCCGGCCCTCATGCTCTATTTTAAAGAATTTTATTTTTATCAAAGTTAGACATACACATACTTTAAAAAGCCAAAAATTTCTGCTGCCTACCTCCATTTCCCCATCCTCAGAGGAGCCAATTTCTGCTCTTTGGGCTAATTTTTAAAAATTATTTATCTCCATATTTCCAAATATCTTGTTTACATACCAGCTTCTTGATTTTTTGTTCAGATTCACTGTTGGCTTTCTACCATGAAAGATGAAGGTTTAGCCTCCTTTCACCCCTCCCCCACCTCCACCCCACACTCCTCCTTTCTCACAATCCAGTTTACTGATTCCTCCCTCTCCTCCCCGCACATCGTGGGTTTTACTAGACCAGTGTTGAGTGTTACCTGAGCGTATTAACAGCTGAGCCAGTTGATAAACTGTTGATTACTCTATCTGTTCTTTCCAACTTTGTTTTCCCTTGAAGAAATAATTCTTATGTGTCTGTGTGCTTTCTGAATTTTTAGTGTACTAATTCAACAAAAAGCTGTATGTTGTCTCTATCTCCTCTTGGTGTATTCAGATGCATCACACAGTTTAGAAATCTCTCCTGGAGCCTTCCATTCTAGAAGCACTGCCACCCTCTCTGCCTGGTGCCCAGCTGCCATCCTGGCTTCTCCTTTCACCTTTGCCCCTTGCTGTTTGGACCCCGTGGCTCTTAGATTCTTTTTCCTGAATACTCATTGATGTGGGTTTTTTTTTTTTTTTTGATATTTGTATATATTGCAAAATGATCACCAATAAGTCTAGTTAACATCTGTCACCATACATAAAGAATTTTTTTCATGTGATGAGAACTTTTAAGATCTGTCTTAGCAACTTTCTGATATGCAATATAGTATTATTAACTGTAGTCACCATGCTGTACGTTACATCCCCAGAACTTATTTTATAGCTGGAAATTTGTACCTTTTGAGTTCACCCATTTCACCCACCCCCTTGAGTACTTGTTTTGGTGCTATATATAGTCCAGGAGCTAGCTGAGCAGAGGAACTACATATTTTGAGACCTTGTTCTGAAAAGGAGTTCTATCCTGACCAAGTATACAATTCTGTTATAAATCATTTTCATTCAGAATTTTGAAGGCATTCCTACATTATTTTCTAGCCTTCAGCGTTGCTGTTGAGAAGTCCAAAGCCATTTTGATTCCTGATTCTTTTAGCTCCTTCCTGGCAGTTACACTGTCGTCTTCAGCCCCCGAAATTTCATAGTGATGTGTGTTGGTTTATTTTTATTCATCTTACTGGGCACTTTCAAACTAGAAACTCCATTTTCTACCGTTCTTAGAAATTTTCTTGAATTACTTCTTTGATTTTCCTTCTCTTTTCCCATCATATCTGGAATTCCTTTCTCTAAGTATCTTCTAATCCTTCTCTTTAGTTTTCCTAACATCCTGTCCTTGATTCATGGGTACATGAAAGTAGCTTTTCTAATCTGGCTGGCTTTGTTTTGTTGTTTTTATTCCTCTCTCCCTGCAGTCTCTGTTTCTGTAATGCTTTCTGCACCTCGCTGGTTGTGGCTCTTACCCTGTAGTATTAGATGCTTCCTCGGATGCTGGTGATCTTCAGTGTGTGCTGTACATAAGAGGGGGGCCGTAACGAGCAATAGAAGCCCTGAGCTCGGTGCATGGTGGGGAGATTGACTGTAGGCTTCACTTAGGATGACTGGCCAGGCTATTTCTTTGGGGAAGCCCTGATGTCAGTGTCTGTAATCTTGCTTACTGATCAGGTCAGGTTCTCCAGAGAAGTATTCTCCAGTCTCTTTGCTGCCAGACATTTAGAGCCCAGTTATGGAAGACAGTTGGAGGTCTCAACATTCAGTGTGCAGATGTTTGCTTGATGTTGTACCTGTTGTTAACATGGTACTCCTCCCTCAGCTGTGCCTGATACTCCGTGGTCAGACACCATGTTTTTTGTCTTCTCCAGTAAGCAGCCCCCGCCCCCCTCTCATAATTTTGCAGTTACAGAGCCGTGGTTGCCTGTTTGCACAGGGTGGGGAAGAAAATCTGGGCATCATCTTGAACAGACTGATTTTCTTGTTTTTAGCCTCACTTTTACCCCAGTTTCAGAAATACCTGAGCCTATGGGGGTGAGAGAGTTCTGCTGATGTTCCCACTGCGAATTCAGTGTCAGTTACTGACATTTTGGAAGATGGGTTTGAAAAGGCAAAATGCTCTATTGTCAATCTCATTTGACTCATTCAGCAAGGAATATTATAAGGATCTGGATGATCCTCAGTGAGTACTGAAGAAATTTAGCTAATCTTTAGAAAACTTTGTGGATGAAATCCAAAGATGTTTTAATTAAGTACAGTATTTCTTGCATTTCTGGGTACTCAATAATCCTAGCTCTGCCAGTGTGTAATTTTGGACAGGTTTCTTGATTTCTTTTAAACTTCTTTCCTCATCTGTAAAGTCAGAATGACATCTACCTAATAAAGCTGGTGTGAGGATTAAATGAGAACATGTATTTAGAGCCCTGGCACGGAGGGAGCACTCACTGGATGGTAGCCATTATTAACCAACAATCTTAAAGAACTTAGTTTTTTAAAAATTTTTTGTTTATGTTATTTCTAATAATTTTGGGGATGTATAATTCACATACCATAAAATTTTCCCTTTCAAAGTGATTTTTAGTATATTTACAGATCATGCAACCATTACCACCACCTGCATTTAGGAATCTATGTAGCATGATTTTCCAGAGTTTCTGAGTTACAGGATTTAGTTAAGGAAATGCTTTTTGTTGCTAACTTGTGTCACTTTTTCTCTTGCAGGAAAGTTCACATCCTTGGCTCTTTCCAAAACATCAAGATGGCAAGAACTGCCATTTGTAACCTCATCCTGGGTAATAGTTTCTTTCTTTCGTGTTGTCTCTGGAAAGGAAAGAATAGGAATCTAGGAACTCAAACCACATTTGTGCATCAGTTTAGGATAAGGGTCATGTTAAAGATGGCAAGTAGAAACTCCGGGGGTTCACAAATGTAGGCCTAGAGAAAAAAGTAGGAATGTTTTTGCTTGGATTCCAACTGTCTGCCTGCCAGAGAAGAGAAAGGGTTTATTGGGTTATATTGCTTAAATCTTTGCTGCTTTCCCCTGATGAGCTGCATGGAAAAGCCATTCCAGAATAGCAGGCAACACCGTGTTTTAGTTTCAACAATAAGGGAGCTGCTGATCAGCGCCCATCAACCTAATCCACTTAGTCCCATTTTCAAACTGTGCAGCAAAGTCAGTAACTTCTGATGAGAGTTACAGGATTGTAGCAGCCTGCTCAGAAAACACTTGGGATTCTCCCTCAGTGCCCAGGTCTGACCAACTAGCTTCTTTTTGAAATATTTGACAACTCGGTGCCTTTGGTTCTTAGGATTTCAAATGTTTTTTGGAGAATATTTGAGTATGGTTTCCTTTATGATTCTTTTGTTGATTTAAGATCCAATGCAAAATGGCCCTGTTCTTTTTAATAAGGAGTTCTAGACCATTTTTTATGTAGCTTCTATATATGTGAGTATATTTGTATAGATAGATAAACTTTTTTTTTCCCTCTGCAGGAAATCCTCCATCAAAGGTTTATGGCAATATTCGAGCCGTGGCTAGCAGAGCAGCAGATCGATTCTGATTTCAAATAAGAGACTTGTTATCTTGTCTTTGGACTCTAGAGAAAAAGACCTTACCCTCTACAAGTGGTCACAAGAAACCATGTGAAGAATTTTTCAGTCACTTTAAGCCTTGGTCCCTTCTTCCATTCTCAGCCAGAAGCGTAAATAGAAAGGAAAAGTTTGATAGTATTCACACTCAACAGCTTTGAGGATAATTTAAATATTGAAATTTAGTACCATTGTTATACTTACATATTAATTCTAATTTATCATTTTTTAAATCACGTGCAAATTTTCAGTTTATAATACTCTCATTTGGAGGGAAAACTTCTTGTTTAAACAGTTCTGTATGAGTTTATAAGTTTCTTATTTATAGATTTATAACTTTTTATAAATTTATAAACACTTCTCTATAAGCAGTAATTGAAGAATGATCTCAGAAAACCTCTCTCCATTATGACCCTTAATACTGGGTGGTATGTGAATATTTTAGAATCAGTTAAGAAGCAGCAGCTTAGCTGTAGTATGTGAACCAAGAAAGGTTAATCTTGTACCTGTTTTGCAGTTTATAAAATTAAAATTAAAGACCTACATCACAAAGTCGACCTGAGCAAAGAGTTTTATTTTTCAAGTAAGTATTTAATGAAAGTAGTCAGACGTTACCAATGTTGGGTATATTTCTTCTAAGTAGTAATATGGTAAAAGAATGATTTTACAACCCTAAGAAAACTACTGCAAATGTAGTTCTGTGTTCTGCAAATGTAATAGATTGTGTTAACTAGTGTCTGCCTATTTAAATATTACCTGATTCATTTTACACATTTTTTAAATGAAAGGAACTCACTTCATTAAATCTGTGATTGTGATACTATGTTCTCTTATACATCTCTCAAACTCTTGACCAAAACTTTTTAACTTTAATGGTGGGAGTGTTAGAAAGTTCATGTAAGAACTAGAAAAAGTATTATTAGCTTCTGTTTCCTTTATATCAGTTAGATGTGCCACTGTCCAAAACTGGTTTGTATATTGCATGGGATTGGATATACTTATGTATTAGGGTAGGAATCCAATGGGAAATTGCTAGAAACATCCCTCCAATAATTTTTTCTTTGGCAATGCAGTAGCATGGAGACAGTATGTGTATGATTTTATCAAATCTCTTTACTCATATCTTTTTGAAGAGGAGGACTTTGTTGGGACTTTCTTACTCTGGAGTCTGCACAGGCTTCAGAGGTACTTGCCCACCCCCTTGCTTTGCCCAGGAAGTTATATTCAAAATTGTGACCGCTTAGGTATACTCTTCTGGGGAATGAGTCCACAGTTTTAATCAGCTTTTCAAAGCACCTGCACCGTGGAATGAACCATTCCTAGGTAACCACAAATGTTTTTGGTTGATTTTTAAGAAAAGAGCATAATTTTGATTGGGAAAACATGGGTTTTCTATGTTCAAGTGCATGAATGTTTTCGTTTGTTTGAATTGACTTCCTTTTGAAGATTTCTTATGTAGTTAGAATCATCAGTAACACAAGAGAGGAAATACATGTCTCTGCCAGTTGCTAAAATTTGGGGTGGTGAACTTGGGTTTAGTGACTTGTGTTTTGGGCCCCTCCCTGGTCAAGCATTTCTCTCTCCTCCCCTGGGGAAGTAGTACTACTTGGGCTTTGCATGTGAGACACAATGTTAGAGGAAACCCAACTAATTCTTGGAATGGGAATGATGAAGAAGGAATAGAGGTAAGAAATCTGTTTCACAGTGGTAGTTAACAAACTCAATCAAATCACTTCTTGAAAGCCCCCTCTAAGGCCTGGACACTAAATCTAACTCCTCAAGCCTTAGCCATGGTTGGCAATGTTTCTGTGGCAGTTGTCATGCTATATACTGCAGTTATAGTGTCTGCCTCCCACAGTAAAGCCTCTGAACTTGGGATACTCAGTACCTAGTACACTTTCTTTTTTTTTTTTTTTTTTTAAACAATTTTTTTTTTTTTTTTTTTAAAGATTTTATTTATTTTATTTTTCCCCCCAAAGCCCCAGTGGATAGTTGTGTGTCGTAGCTGCACATCCTTCTAGTTGCTGTATGTGGGACTCGGCCTCAGGATGAACGGAGAAGTGGTGCCTCGATGCGCACCCGGGATCCGAACCCGGGCCACCAGCATCGCAGCGCGCGCACTTAACCACCAAGCCACAGGGCCGGCCCCCTAGTACACTTTCTGACATGTCACAGTGTACGTATTTATTGATACATTGGCTGGGGGAGGGGCCTGAAAGAGGAGTATTTTCTTCAATATTCAGTGGCTGATAAAGGAAGAGACCTTGGTAGTTTCCTGCTAGACATTCCAGAAGATTTGGGTTCCAACTCTAATGCTACCTAGAACTAGGATGGTACAGAAGAAAGCTCACGTTCCCTGAGCATCTGGGAAAGAGACCTAGTTTTCCCGATCCCAGAGCCATGTTAAGATTGGCACATCATGCTTAATGTTAGATTACAGAAATTATACAGTGACAATGTACATAACCATCCTACAACTTGCAAAATACTTGTACAAATGTTACTTATTTGGTCAAACAAACCAGTAAATCTTCAGGTTTGAGAGAGCAAGGACTCGCTAATTTGATCTGGTTAGCAGATTTATAATGCTCAAAGGTATTGAAAGGTTGAAGTAGCAATGGACTTGAGCTTAAATGTTAGCTAATGCAGAGAGAGATTTTTGAGCATGTGGGAATTTTGAAGACAGGATTAATGATTCCAGACATACATGAGCTTGAACACCATTTCTTTCTTTGTGGGTAAATGCTGGAAACTGTCCAGCAACTGAGATTCCTTTTTTACCATCTTTTCTACTCTTCTTTTAAATTGTAGTAATATATATATATATATATATAATTTATCATTTTGAAGTATACAGTTCAGTAGCATTAAGTACATTTCACATTGTTATGTAACACCTCCATCCATCTCCAGAACTTTATCTTCCACAACTGAAACTGTACCCATTAAACGCTAACTCACTCCCCATTTCCCCCTCTTCCCCATCCTTGGCAACCTTCATTCTACTTTGTCTCTATGAATTTGACAACTCCAGGAACTCATATAAGTAGAATAATACAATATTGTCCTTTTGTAACTGGCTTATTTTACTTAGCCTAGTATCTTCAAGGTTCATCCATGTTGTAGCATGTGTCAAAATTTCCTTCCTTTTATGGATGAGTAATATGCTCTTGTCATGTTTATACCACATCTTGACTATACATCTGTAATGGACGCTTGGGCTGCTTCTACCTTTGGCTATTTTTTTTTTTTGTGAGGAAGATCGGCCCTGAGCTAACATCTGCCAATCCTCCTCTTTTTGCTGAGGAAGACTGGCCCTGGGCTAACATCCATGCCCATCTTCCTCCACTTTATATGGGATGCCGGCACAGGATGGCTTGCCAAGCGGTGTGTCGGTGCGCACCCGGATCCGAACCAGCGAACCCCGGGCTGCTGCAGCGGAGCACGAGCACTTAACCGCTTGCGCCATGGGCCAGCCCCGTACCTTTTGCCTATTGTGAATAATGCTGCTATGAACGTGAGTGTACAAATATCTGTTCTAGTTCCTGCTTTCGCTTCTCTTGGGTATATACACAGAAGTGGAATTGCTGGATCATATGATAATTGTTTAATTTTTTGAGGAATCACCATACCACTTTCCACAGTGAGTGCACCATTTTACATTCCCACTAGCAATGCACTAGGGTTCCAATTTCCCCACATCCTCACCAAGGCCTTTTTTTTTTTTGGCTAACAGCAATGCTAATAAGTATGAAATGCTATCTGTTGTCTTTGATTTGCATTTCCATAATGACTAGTACTGCTGAGCAACTTTTCATGTGCTATTGGCTATTTGTATCTTCTTTGGAGAAATGGCTATTCAAGTCCTTTGCCCATTCTTTAATCAGGTTGTTTTTTTGTTGATTGTAGTTCTTTATATATTCTGGATAGAAATCTCTTATCAGATAGATGATTTACAAATATTAACTCCCATTCTGTGGGTTGCCTTTTCACACTATTGAGTCATCTTTTCTCCTCTTAAGACTATTAGAACTAGGTAAAGAAAGGGAGACCTAGAGCTTAAATGCATCTATTGGTTTAGGCTTAACTAATGTATACGTCTAAGATAGTCTAGGATAGTCTAAGGAGTCACAGAATCCAGTGCACAGTATCTCAGAACTAGTGCATACCTGACAATATGGGTGTTCTGGGTATAAAACACCACAAACAGCCCACAACTCTTCTGGGCCAGGTATGTCATTTACCTGTCACAAGTATCTCAAGTGCTTCTTATACAGTGCTAGGCATGTAGTAGGAACTCTACAAAGTTGTTGAATGAATGAAAGTCAAGTTGTTGAATATCTTAAAAAAATACTAATTTTTACCTTTTATGAAGAGTGAGAAAGTACTGAATAGAATTCACTATAAAATTACCACCTGTATAAACAGGGTGTCTCCTATTACCTAATTCATTTAAGTATTTATTGAGCAAACACTAAGAGGTAGAATTCTAGACAATTGAGGATATCAGTGACCAAGGGACGGACATCATTGCCCTTATGGAGCTTTTTCATTCATTTTGATAATTGGGGAAGACAAATAATATAACATTTACATAAGTAAATTATGTCAGAAGAGGTTAAAAGCTATGGCAAAAGAAAAGAGAGTGGGGTAAGGGAGACCTAGGTGTATTAGTATGTTTAAATAGGGCCAGGAGAGTTCCTGCTGGGACAGGACCAACCTGAACAAAGACTTGGAGGCATTAGCTGGAGGACATCTGGTGCAGGAAGAGACACTGCAAAGGCCTGGAGCGGAAGCAAGACAAAGGCTCCAGGAACCACAGGGAGGCTGAGGCGGCTGGAGGCAGAGGAAGGGCGAGTAGTAAATGAATGAGAGCGGGCTTTCTAGGTCCTTGTAATGCCTTGTGTTTTTACGCAGTGATAAAGCAGATTTATTTTTACTTATGGCTTACAATCAAATATCGAACATCAGTTTATATGAGTTTTTTAAAAAATCCAAAAGCATGAAAATATCTAATGGCTGTGGAAGCCCACCAAAGACTGCTGTGAATATAGTCAAGCAAGTTTCAAATATTTTATTTTCTTATTCATACAGTATGAAGTTTTCTAAAGATCCCACAACATGATGTTTCATGCAGAAGAAAAACTAAACATTCAACATAAACCACCCCTCCCCCACCCACACACTAGGAAAAAAAAAAAAAAAAGGAAAGAAAAACCCTCATTCCCCAGTA